AGCTGAGTGAAGATCGCCTCACTGTCCTCCACTGTTTGATCAGCAGAGACATTGATGGCCTCCACCTCCTGTTGGAGCAGCTTCACATCTTTCTGTCGCTCCTGGATTCTCAGCTGGATTTGTTGTCTGGTCTGCTCCAGCTCCTTCTGCTTCTCAGCTCTTTCAGCTGTAACCGGCACCGTTTCATGTCCTCGATGTTGGTCCATGGCGCAGAGATAACAGATACACAGCTGATCAGTCCGACAGAAGATCTTCATCACCTCATCATGACGAGGACACATGTTCTCCTGGAGCTTCTTGGAGGGCTCCACCAGCTTGTGTTTCTGTAACGGTGGAGCTTCATAGTGAGGTTGGAGGTGTTTCTCACAATAAGAGGCCAGACACACCAGGCAGGACTTGACCGCTTTCAGTTTCCTGTCAGAGCAGACATCACAGGACACATCTTCAGCTCCAGCATAGCAGTGATCAGCTGCAGCAGCTTGGAGTCCAGTCTTCTTCAGCTCCTCCACCAGCTCTGCTAACACAGTGCTTTTTACCAGAACAGGCCTCGGTATGAAGTCCTTCCTGCACTGAGGGCAGCTGCAGACTCTCCTCTGATCCTCTCCATCCCAGAACTCTTTAATACAGCTCAGACAATAGCTGTGTCCACAGGGAATAGTCACCGGATCCTGCAGGAGATCCAAACAGATGGAACAGGAGAACTTTCTGGAATCCATTTGGGTTCTTGCTGCTAGTTTCACCTCTGAAGAACTGTAACTGTAACAACTAAATGTGTTACACAAGAAGCMAAGCCCAGTTTTTATTACTTTCACTTTTACTTCCTTGTGTCKGTCTGAGCTGTTAAAGRGGAGGAGCCAGAAAAAACTCTGTTAAAGAGACAGAGCAGCTTTTTATTGTCTCTCATTTCAGAGGAAGAACCAGACTGAGGCAGCATTATCCAGGTCCCTGAAGATCCAGCTGTAGATTCCTGTTTGTCTTTTCATCTTTATAAATGACAGTAAATGTTTTTGTCATCAAGATTGTCTGCTGATGAAGAATGAAAGGCAGACAAATAAGCCCAGTTTATTCAGAGAACAAACAGATTATCTAAACTTTCTCTAGTTAGGTTATTTTCCCCTTGGTCCAGACTCACATCTACTATTAGTCAGTCCACAGTTGGGTCACCTCTTGGTCCACAGTCATGTCATCTCTTGGTCCATGGTCGGGTCATCTCTTGGTCCACAGTCATGTCATCTCTTGATCCAAGGTTAGGTCATCTCTTGGTCCATGGTCGGGTCATCTATTGGTCCCTGATTGGGTCATCTATTGATCCAAGGTCGGGTCATCTATTGATCCCCGTTCAGGTCATCTAAGGATCCATTGTCGGGTCATCTATTGATCCACGGTTGGGTCATCTATTGATCCCTGTTCGGGTCATCTAAGGATCCACAGTCGGGCCATCTATTGATCCACGGTCAGGTCATCTATCGATCCACTGCTGGGTCATCTGATGATCTATGGTYGGGTCATCTATTGAGCCACAGTAGGGTCAACTTTTGGCCCACAGTTGTGTCATCTCTTGGTCCACGGTCAGGTCATCTCTTGGTCCAAGGTTGAGTCATCTATTAGTCCCTGATCTGGTCATCTAAGGATCCACTGTCGGGTCATCTATTGATCCCCGTTCGGGTCATCTAAGGATCCACTGTCAGGTCATCTATTGATCCATGTTCGGGTCATCTATTTTTCCTCAATCGGGTCATCTATCGATCCACTGTTGGGTCATCTATTGGTCCACAGTCATTTCATCTCTTGGTCCAGAGTTGTGACATCTCTGGGTCCACGGTCAGGTCATCTATGGGTCCCTGATTGGGTCATCTATTGATCCACTGCCAGGTTACAATTGATCCACGGTCGGGTCATCTATTTGTCCTCGATCAGGTCATCTATCGATCCACTGTCGGGTCATCTATTGATCCACTCTCAGGTCATCTCTCGGTCCACGGTCGGGTCATCTATTGATCCACAGCTTGGTCATCTCTTTGTCCACAGTCATGTCATCTCTTGGTCCATGGTTGGGTCATCTATTGGTTCCCAATCGGGTCATCTAAGGATCCACTGTCAGGTCATCTATTGATCTACGGTCGTGTCATCCCTTGGAAATAAATAAAACGACTCCACCACCTCTTCTACTGCTTCAGTTCATAGGATACAGTCCATACCACTCAATGTGAACATTTTTATATTTTCATCATTGAGCCATGTCTCAAACTGCTGCTATATAAATTTTTTTTGTCCATTTTATATAATCTGTTATATTTGATAAACTAACATTCATACTTCCACTATTATCCATCCATTCATCCATTTTCTTCCACCTATCCGGGGTCGGGTCGCGGGGGGCAGCATCTTCAGAAGGGAGGCCCAGACCTCCCTCTCCCCAGCCACTTCTTCCAGCTCCTCCAGGGGAACTCCAAAGCATTCCCAGGCCAGCCGAGATACATAGTCCCTCCAGCGTGTCCTGGGTCTTCCTCGGGGCCTCCTCCTGGTGGGACGTGCCCAGAATACCTCACCAGGGAGGCGTCC